GGCTGCTCCAGCTGCCTCTTGGCCTCCTGCAGACGCTCTCACTGTCCTTCTCTGCCACAGCTCCACTGACAGCCCTGGCTGGCCACAGATGGGAAGTGGCGGCTGCCACTTGGAAAAACTGATTTCTGGTGCAAACGCCTCCAACGATGGTGAGAATCACAAAGCCCGTCACGCCCAGACATTTCTCTGTGTAGCCTTGGCTGTCCGGGAACTTCCTCTATAGATCAGGCTGGCCTCCAACTCAGAGATCAATCTGCCTCTGCCTCCAGAGTAATGGAATTAAAGGCAGATGCCACCACCAGTCAGCCTAAGAAACTATTTATTTATTTATTTATTTATTTATTTATTTATGGTTTTTCAAGACAGGGTTTCTTTGTAGCTTTGGAGCCTGTCCTTAAACTCACAGAGATCCACCTCTCTGCCTCCTGAGTGCTGGGATGAAAGGCGTGGACCACTACTGTCCAGATAAGAAACATTCTTAATTCTGTTTTCTCTTCAGAATTGTGTAAGATGTGGAGACCCTCTTAATAGATGCCTCCTGGGCTCTCAAACCAAGTGTCACTCACTGGAGGCCTCCAAGGGCAGTCCTGCTTTGATGGAAGGCATTCTTTGAACACGGAGATTTTACATAAAAATAAGCATGCATAACTTCTTTTGAAGAGATCCAAAGCTCTGGTGACATTAAGTGTGCTAGCGATGGCTCCCTTGAGACAGCTTCTCCAACCACTTCCCATCAGGGCCAACACTGTGCTTGGGGCAGTGGGGAGGGAGGTTGTCATTCACCCTGCCTGAAGCACTTGAGACTGCAAGCCTCCTCGTGCCCCCAGATCTCCTCCCTCCACAAGTGAGCGTCCCAGAACCTATCCCTGAGCTCACCGAGCTCACAGAGCCTCAGGTCCACTGCAGCTTGGATTACACAGAGCCCTCACTTCTCTGCTTGGGCCGCCTGAAACCCTTCTGCTGTCTCTCCTTGCTGCCTTGGTGGTGTGTCCGTCTACTGCTCAACCAGTGACTGCTAGCCATAGGATAAACCCCGCCTCCTCCAGGAGGCCCCAATGGACTCCACTAGGTGGATACAACCTCCCCTGTTCTTATCTCCAGTTCTCTGCTCTGTTCGCAGCCCTTGCTGTGGAGCAGTCGGTCCCTGCTTTGCCAAAGGCTGACCTGAAGAGTCTGCTCCCATGTGAAGTTAGTCTGGGAGTCTTGGGAGAAGGGAGGCTTCTTTAACTTGTCCTCGAGTGTCCTATCTCCGTGTTTGGGAAGAGATGGGCCTGGAACAGGTGTCACAGGCCCTGTGCTCCTTGCAGATTTTGACAGTTTCCCACATGAAGTTCCTCACGTCCTTCAGTCCCTCCAGGTTTTAATGGGGACTTCTGTGTCATGGTGCAGAAGCTAGGCAGGCCCAGAATGCTCTTGCCTTGGCTCTGGTTCAGGCTGCAGACATGTTTTGCAAACAAAGCACATGGGCTTGCTCACTGCGCTTGTGTCCCATTGCTTCCACGGGCCCTGAGATGAGGGTCCTCTATGTTCTAAGGCTCAAGTAAGAATCACAAAGAGGCAGACACTGCCCAGCCGTTTGTCTTCTGCCTCCTTTTCATTGTGACGGGACAGCAACATGTATACTTAAAACAAGCAAGCAAACAAACTAGAGAGACGGCCCAGAGGTTAAGAGCACTGGCTGCTCTTCCAAAGGACCTGGGTTCAATTCCCAGCAACCACGTGGTGACTCACAGCCATCTATAATGAGATCTGGGGCCCTCTTCTGGCCTGCGGGGACACATGCAGGTAGAACACTAGATACATAATAAATAAATCTTTAAACAAACAAAAGCACACAAAAGACCTCCAGGGGCCAGCAGGATGATTCAGTGGATAAAGACACTTGCCACCCAGCCTCACCAATAACTTGAGTTCATTGTCTGGGATCCATGTGGTGTAAGGAAAAAAAACTGGTTCCTGAAAGCTGTGCTCTGACCCCCATAGGCATGCTATGACATGTGTTCACCTGTTCTCACACACACTAAATACATTAATGAATAGATACAATATAAAGTTGGTTTCCCAGCTTCCCATGTAACTAGAAGTAACCAACAAAATGGAGGGAGAAATCATTGCATATAGCATCCAGGGCAGCTTCTAAGAGGTCTAATTCATCTGGTGGTCGAGGCCCATGAGGACCTCCTTCCAGTTGAGTACTTAACCATGGTGGCTAGATTTTGAGCAGCCACCCTGTGACCATAGGGCAACCTTGAAACCGTCAGGACGTGCTTAGTGTGGGTCAGCAGAAAGGAGGTGGGACGTAGATGACATTGTAGAGGTGCTGGCCAGTTCTGGAGCCCCCTGGTGGCTTTCACGACCTAAGACACTTGAAGACACTATCCTATTATTGAGTATCAAATGCAATCCTGACAAGGGTCAAAAGCCCTCACCTGGCAAGCAACTCCCTTGATCCAGGCCTTGGGCCAGGTACCTTATGATACATTATACTTGACTCATAATACCATGCAAGGCAGGGCTGCTACTCACTGAGGGAGCTGGAACTTAGAGTCTAAAGGACACCTTGTCAAAGCCACACAGCCAGTGAGCAATATGCTTGGTCCCAGAGCCAGACCTATTAGACTCTAATGCCTATGTTCTTCCTACTCCCAACTCCCACCCCTGAAACTAACACAGTGCCCTTTTCAAGCCATCCCTCAGCTAGGACCCCAGGTTTGCTCAAGAGGCAACAGTGGCCACCAAGACTTGGCTTTAACATCTTACCAAGACTAGAAACTGGTGGCAGTTGCCATGAACTATCTGGAGAAACCTTTGGCAAAACATGGCTTCCAACTCATGGCGTCCAGTTATCTGAGGAGTGTGGCTTTGAGAGGCAGGGTAAGGATGCTAAACCAACAACAAAGGTGACAGTAATGCCAAGGGCTGTCAGAGACTTTTCTTTTTGAGGTGGTAACGTCACAGAGAACTGCAAATGAGCAATTCTCTGTTGGAACCAGATCACATTTGTTGAAGAGATCTAGGGTAATTTGTTTGGCATGGCTGTCAGGTTTGTACTAAACCATGTGCTAGGTCCTGGCTCTCTCTTTCTCTGTCCTCTGTCTCTCTCTCTCTCCTCTCCTCTCTCTCTCTCTCTCTCTCTCTCTCTCTCTCTCTCTCTCTCTCTCTCTCTCTCTCTCTCTCCTCCCCTCTCTCCCTTTCTCTCTCCCTTCCCTCCCTCCTCTGTGAGTGAATTTATAGAACTTTATGTAAATTTTCATGACATTCTTTAACCAATTATTGATCACTTGCCATATACTAGATGTTTCCCTGTGGTCCTCATTAATTCTATACACAACACACACACACACACACACACACACACAGAGGCATCCACACATGCACACACAGACACTGGCCTATGGGGCTTCATTCCAATCTATAGGCTAGAGAGCCTCAGGTCCAAGGATAGTCGCTTGCCCTGGGTTCATGGCTGGTGAGCTCACCTATGTTGCCCCCAAAGTATTCCAAAGGAAGGAGGCAAATGAATGAACCATCAAAGATGAACAGCAAGAGGCAACTGCTTGCTTGTAGCTATAGCAAAATTTCTTTGCTTCAGCCTCAGCCAGGTTGGTCCTACTGGGAAAATGCATGCTAAGAAACACAAGGCTGGTTGGGCTCCCATGAGCAATCCCTACTAAACATTGAAGGACCTGGTTCAAGGTGCCTGCTGCAGTTAGAACACAGCTTTGTTCTGTTGCTATGAAATGCTCGAACCAGAAGCAGCTTACACAGTCCGTCATTGAGGGAAGTCAGGGCAAGAACTCAAGGAGGTGCTTGAAGCAGAAAGCATGGAGGAATGCTGCTTGCTGGCTTGCTGGAAGATTCCTTCTCAGAGATGGTGTCCCTACAGTGTGTTGGGCCCTCCTGCGCAGGTTAATAATCGAGACAACCCTCACAGACATGCCTACAGGCTATCTGATTTGAATTTTCCTCTCAAAGGACTTTGGTTTGTGCCAAGTTGAAAACCCTAACTAGGACATCCCAAGGATTGCTGTTGTTGGAAGCATGCCCCTGGGTATGGTGTTACTGGAGTGGTAGCGTCTTTAGGAGGCAAAGCTTGTCGAAGGGCTTTTGGGCATTGGGCATGTGCCCTTGGTGGTACTAGCTCTGGAGGGACCCTGGGTTGTTATAAGAATGAGCCCAAATCCTGTTTGTTCTCTGGCATCATCTCTGGACATGATCTTTCTCCTGCACATGTCTCTCCTGTAATGTCATCTGCCATTAGACTCTAACTAACGAGGATAATCTAAACTGCTAACTTAAACTACTGTGAGTTATAAAGTTATCCAGCTTCAGACATTGTGTCATAACAACAACAATAAAAACGACTAACATGGTAGTTTACAATTCTTTTGCGTGTGTGTGTGTGCGCGCTCGTGTGTGTGTGTGTGTGTGTGCGTGTGCGTGCGTGTGCACGCGTGTGTCAGGATGGGTGCACACACCTTTGCACGTGTAAATGGAGACTGGAGGTTGATTTTGAGGGTCTTCCTTTACTCTACTCCACCTTCTGTTTTGAGACAGATTCTTCACTGAACCTAGAGCTCTGTACTTTTGTTATAATGGTTTGCTAGCACACTCTTATCTTGTCCTGCTCCCCGTCCCTGGTGCTGGAATTACTATTGCCACGCCTGGCTTTTAAGTGGGTTCTGGGGATCTGAACTCAGGTCCTCATGCTTATGCATCAAGATCATTACCTATTGAATTATCTTCCTCAGCCCCACAATTGCTTGTTTTAACGATGAACCTAAGATTTAAACGTCATGGTCAGAACATTCAGTAACTCATTTGACAAGAGTCTACAATATGTCAGGATCAGTGTCAACCTGAGGGGACGATAGATTCAAACAGGGTACCAACTCAACACTGTGGTCTCAAAGATCATTCAAGGGTCATGTGGCCATCAGATGAGTGACTGGACTCTGCCCTCTCCAAAGTTCAGGTGGGAGGAAGCTGGTCTCACTAACCTTATGAAGGTCCGAAAGCCAGTTGGTCCCAACTTCATTGTCCCCTTGATTCCCAGGAATCGGATAAACAAATTGGCCATCCTGTCTACCAGGCGCAGGTAGTTGAACTGCTTGGCATACTTGGGGAACACCTGCTTGAGGCAAATGGAGGGCAGGTGGGCTTCAGGGTTGGAGTCGGGATCACCGGTCAGCTCACAGCCCGGATCTTCCTTCCCGGGGAAAGGGTTCTCAGGATGCTGAGACCTGAAATGCAAAGGCACTCATGACGCACTGCCTTCCTCCGACGCCTTCCTTCCCTTGAGATGTGCAGTAGCCCCAGGGGATTGGCGTTATAATCTCTCTATTTTGTAGACTAGACGACTGGCCTCCGGGAAGGGACCTGTGGAGGCTCACACAGCTCCAATGCCTGAGCCCGGGGCAGAGCTAGGACTGGAAACATAGGCTTCCTCTACCCTGCCAGTCCGGCCTCGCTCTACACACGGCTCAAAGGAATACTCCATTGTGAGCAGTCTGGGTTCGATTCCAGACTCAGTCTTTTTTTTTTTTTTTTTTTTTTTTTTTGGTTTTTCGAGACAGGGTTTCTCTGTATTGTTTTGGAGGCTGTCCTGGAACTCGATCTGTAGACCAGGCTGGCCTCGAACTCACAGAGATCCACCTGCCTCTGCCTCCCGAGTGCTGGGATTAAAGGCGTGCACCACCAACGCCCGGCACCAGACTCAGTCTTATAGGTAGTAATTGAATAATTAAGAAATGGAAAAATCTCACTAACTGTTGGCGAGAAGCCACAGGTGCGGTTTAGTGACCAACTTGGGGAGACACTCCCATTCCCTAGTTCGAGGAACACAGACCATCTCCTGCCTTAACTGTTTATTCAGAGCTCATGCAGAAAATGACAAGTTTTGTGACCCCTTACCCTGTGTGTTTTATTCTGATAGGAAAGAAAATGAGTAGCCACAGACTTTTACCTATCCACCTGTAGCTGGAGGTGATCTCTGTCCCTCCTCTCTTCCAGCGTGACACAGCCCTTTCTCCACCCAAAGTCTGTCCCATCTCCTTGGTGTGTCACTGCCAGTTACCCAGGTGGGGAAAATCAGAATAAATGCCAGTTCTTCCTCTGTCTCCATAGTCAATGTCACCACAGTCCCCAAATCAGCTCCCACAGGCCAGCGCTCTCCCGTCTGCCCTGCTTGGACCATAGCACCAAGACCACAGCAACAGAAACATTTAATTGGGACTGGCTTACAGGTCAGAGGTTTAGGCTGCTGTCTCTGTGGCGGGAAGCGTGGGGGCATGCAGGCAGACATGGTGCTGGAGAGGAGCTGAGAGAGCTCCACCCCGGTCTGCAGGCAGCAGAAGAGCCGGTGACACTGGACCCCCAGTGACACACTTCCTCCAACAAGGCCACACCGTGCCACTAACAGTGCCACTCCCTATGGGCTTATGGGGGCCGTTTCCACTCAAACCATCACACCACGTTTCTGAGTTTGCCCTTCCCATTCTTCATCCTGGCACCTTTCATATTTAAAAAAAATTTAGTTTTGAGACAAGGTCTCACTGTGTATCCCTGGCTGGTCCTAACCTTCCCATGTAGCACAGGCTGCCCTAGAACTTGCAGTTCTCCTGTTGCTTTCTCCCAGGTGCTGGGATTGTGGGCATGTGCCACCATGCTTAGCACCGTGGCAGCCAGCATACCTGATGGGCTGCTTCCCCTCTAACCTTGTCTAAGATGCTGGCCTCTCTACAAGTGCCTCACCCTGGCATTTGCGCTTTCTTCCCAGACCCCTTGTTTCTCGCTCCTTACGGGCTGGGCACACCATTCTCTTCCAGGCTGTGACTCACCCTCACCCTTGCTGTCCATTGGTCTGACCCAGGGCCCAAGAGTCATGCCCCCGAGTTCCCAACTCCCTTCCTCACTCAGTGCTTCTCTCTTTTTCAAGCTCCACCCTTTCCCACCTCCTGTCCCACCCAAAACCAGGACCCCGGAAAAGCACCCGCCACCTGCTGTTGCTGTTCCTAAGACCAAATATTGAACACACTGTGCATGGTCAGTAAGTCCCATCTAAGCCAAAACCTTAAGACAGGCTACGTGTGATTCTTTTCCTTAATGGCCTTGTGTCAACACTCCGGCCTCCAGGTAGTCCCCACGCCAGGCCACTTTGGTGTCCCTGTACATGTCCCACATGGATCCATAGGGAGTGGCACTATTGGGAACTGTGGCCTTGTTGGCAGAAGTGTGTCACGTGGGGTGGGCTTTGAGGGTTCAGAAGCCCAAGCCAGCCCCAGTGTTGCTCTCTCTTCCTGCTGCCTGCTGATGTGGAGGTAGCACTCCCAGCTCCTTCTCCAGCCCCGTGTCTGCCCCCAGGCTTCCCCATGATGATAGTAGACTAAACCTCTGACCTGCAAGCCAGCCCGTTAGATGCTTTCCTTTATAAATGCTGCTGTCGTAATGGTGTCTTTTTACAGCAAGACAACACCAACTACGACACATCGGGAAAGTTTGCTTTTGACAAAGACATAAACTGTCAAGAAGAGTCTCAAAGCCATGATGCTCTGCATCGCATAAGCCCCTGGGACTGGGAAAGAAGCTTGGGAGACACACGTTGTGTTGGAAAACTCTGCCCAAGTGGTCCCTTCCTCGTATCAGTCCAAGGAGCCTGGTCACGCCTTCTTGCAAGCAGATCCTAACTCTGGCAAACCTCTTCCGTGTTTAGTGGCAGAGGGTCTGCATCTGCATGTGCAGACCCGATTCCTCAGGGTTCCCTAGGATGTGCAACTTCCCTTGGGCAGAAACGGCCTTGTCACCATCACCTTGGACTTCAGACAGCAAATCAAGGTCAGGTGGTTATTTTTCACATGAAATGAAGTATTTTCCCCACTGGGGGTGGCAGGTAAACTGACTCTCTTCCCAGGAACTAGCTCCTAAACTACCGAATGAGTGGCAGTGGCCGAGGTTACGAGCACTCAGGAGATTTCAGTTAAGGGGAAGGCGGAGGTGTGCAGTCCTGCACGGAGGGATGGAGTCAGCTCAGGGACCACTCTGTTAAGAAACCCGCCTCGAGGGTGCCTGCTCATCTGCTCTCCACGCACCGTTGTGAGGAGCCTGGGACTACAGCCGGCTTCCACACCGGGAGACAGGCTGAGCGTGGCAGCACATCTCTGAATAAACCAGGACTATAAATAAATCAGTTCTCCAGACCAGTTCTCTAGCGCTCTTCCTGTCTTTCTATTCCCTTATTCTAAAGCACATCGTGGACACAGGGGGGCACTAAATCCTGAACGCTATTGTTTAATTTTCAGAAAGATTTAAAAAAATATTGACTGCCATTAATTTGTTTCCTTTTGTTTTTTAAGAGCCCAACCCAAGGGTGACCTTGAACGTCTGACCCTCTGCCTCCACTTCTCCAATGCTGGGATTACAGGTGTGCACCACCACATCCAGTTTTACGTGGTGCTGGGGACCAAACTCAGGAGGCAGGCACTCCACCAACTGAGCCGTATCTTTAGCTGGGAGCTTTACGTATCAGATTATAAAAGTTATTTGAGTTCTTTGTAGACCTTTGAGAGAAGTATAAGGGAATCAAAATGGTTCCTAGTCCCACACCTTGAATGTAGGCGCTAAGAATATTTAGATGTCTGTACTCAGAGTTAGGATGACAGGACACATGTTTAAATTCTGTGTTCATCCAGTGTGCTTCTCACGCACATACACACAGTCTGTACTAACCCTCAACAGTAATGAAGTTAACATTCCCCCTCAGTCAGAGATTTAATGGCTGCATGACTTCTATCTGCCTAAGCAGAACCCAGTGCTCAGTCTCTTTGGGTGAGGTGCCTACTCTCCAAACACAGTGTTTTAGCTGCAAGAGGTTTTGGAAATTATCTAGGAAGACTTTTGTTGTTGTTGTTGTTGCTCTTGTGTGAAACATACATAAAAGTCACCATTGAAACCATTCTGAGGTGTACCAGTTAGTGGTATTTAGTTCTCTCATGACGTGTTATCATCATTGCTGCCACCTAGTTCCAGAACATTTCACAACAATGGCATTTCAGAGAAGACATTTTAACCCAGCTGGACAGGATTGGACCTCTGCAGTAGCAGGCTGTTTGAAAGAGCACATGGTCTGGGCGGCAGCCATAGTTTGAACCACATGACGATGGACTCTCATCACCTCCATGCCGTATGCTCAGACTAGTCAGGTCTTCCTGGAGGAGGAGGAGTCCCCTTCGGGAGGCGCCTCTGTCTAGCACTGCCCAGCACGCACATTTCACCTCTCCTGCATGGCATTCTGCAGCTGTGGGCGGCCCCTCCCAGACTCTGCTTTCCCCTCCCAGACCTGGGAACCACAGCTTCCCAGGGAAGTGGGTCTCTTCACCTGGGAAGTACTAAAGATGGAGCTGATGTATAGGAGGAAATAAAACCTGAGGAATGGCATCTTTGCTGGAGATAACTGCAATTATCACACTGAGACCCAAGCCATCACAAATACTGTAAAATTCCGTTTTTACTTAATAGCATTTTAATGGAAATGTCAGGCTTTTGGAATAAAAGTGACTGGTAAAGAAAACATAAATCAAGTTTACTAGTCTGTTGGGATTGTTTCTGGAAAAAAAATGAATTTGGTATATCCTTGACTCATTAAAACAGAGGAAAGAATCCCGGAATGCTTTATCTATTATCATTTTTCAAACAAAGTGGAATTCATTTTCATTAAAACTCAGAAAACCACACTTCTCTTTTTTGTCTGGAAACCTCACTGCTAGAAAATCTCCACTGATTATTGGAGACCTTCTACATGTCAAAAATTGCGCTAACAAATTTACCTTGGTAATCTCATTGTTTCCACTAACTGCTCTCTGAGGTAGGTGGAAACCACTGCCCCTTCACAGGGTGACCAGGTGACACTTGCCCAAGTTCACTCCATCATTTGAGGGATCAGCATTGACCCTAGGGATACTTCCCCATGTCTAAGCTGAGCTCACTATAAAGTTCTTACACTTACTCGATTTCAATCAAGTCAGACTTTTCTTCTTCTCTGTAAGCTATATATAGTCCTGGAGATTAACAAAAGCGGAGAGGCAGATACGGCAAGATCAAATCTTAGTTTCACGGAGTTGCTTGGATTCTCTCTAGAGGAGCAACTTCCATCTCTTGTTAAGAATGCCTTCAGCCATTTCCCACTCCTGACACTTCCCCAGAGGCCTCGGACACACCGGCGGGATGGACAGAGTTCCTGCTGCCCAGA